GAGTTTCCAGTTGGAAACTCAATTTCACATCCACTCAAAACAATGGAAAGACTTCCAGACACAAAGCTAGGTGAGATGCAGACTGAATCCTTAACCAACACAGATGGGGAACAAGTTGGTAGATAGTATTTGTTTGCAGAAGGATTTCCAGGAAAAGTTCCCTAAAAGAAGGAATTCCTGTTGCAGGAAAATATTTTTCTTCACCATTTATAATTTTATTTTGACTTAATTTTCCATTAGATTAACTTTAAAAGCACTACATCTCTGTGCAAACAGAATGCATACCATGAAACATACATTCCTGTAGCTAGTTGCTCATTTCTAGATGAAAGCTTCAGAACTGTTTTCCTCACCACCCTTTTCTCTTTTTAGAATTAGTGACTTGACACAGTTGCACCGCTTGTAGTAAGCATCATTTCACAGAGTATTTGCCTGAATAAATCTGAACTTCTCATGAGTTTTGTAGATTGGGTACAGTTAAGTTGTGTTTTTCTGAGTCTTTGGTGTTTTCTCCAGAGAAATAGCAAACCCAAGAGCTGCCACTTTGACAAGCCTTTGCCAAGCAGGAAAACTTCAGAACACATTTGACTAAACTGACCACATGAAATAATACATTAACAACTTGGAAGAGAGTAACTTTTACTCATATGCAATTTGATATTATTGCAACATTACCTGTTTGGGCAGAAATATATGAAAGGTTGTTAAACCTACATTGAAAGAAGCTCTTGGCCTGGGACTCTCCATCAGCACTACTGTACTAAACACCTGTGGATATGTGGACACACACCAAGTGCCCAAAAGGTGTGCACTATACTCACAGCAGAAACCCTTTGGCACCAGAAGGGAAGCACCCTCCAAATTGCCATCTCACCACCTCTGACCTGCACATTAGCATTCATCCTCATCTGACAGTAACACAGCTCCATACAGGTTTCAGAGAAGCCATCCTTTGCAAGCAACCCTCCCTCCACACTGCTACAAGCACTCATGCTTTGAGCACAACAACCCTGGCGACTGCTGGGTGAGATGAAAAAAATACCAAACCAAACACTTTTGCTGCCTAGCACACCAAGCCACACCTTCAACAGCACTAGGAGAGGCCATCCCAGCAGTTCCAACACCCCTTTTCCATATTTAGCAAGCCAGGAGGAAGAGGAAAAACTGGCTCTGCACAAGACTGGGGATGTTCAGCTGTGCAGGCAACACTTGACTCTTTAGCTTTCAAGATTACAACTACAGCCAGCCATGGCCCATCATGGGACAGACAGAATCATCTCTTCAGCTGTCTAACTGAAAAGCCAGCACCACTGGCAAACACATGCTGATGTTTCAAACCAGTTGCTGCCTAGGTTGCCACACTGCTACCCAGCCTGGATAGAGCAGTTATGGACAGTAAGAATAATGTGTGATTGAGCATTGGGAGCAACAGTCCTCAATAGGATTCAACCTATTTGCCCCTCACTTTACATATTGCCCAATTCCAAACATAATCACAAATCTCCCTCTGTGAGCCTAAAGGGTTGTAACCACAAAAACAAACACTATTTTCTGTTTACCACAGCTGTAGGCCTCAGACACGTGGCCTGGCACCCTGTCACTAAACGCACCCCTCACATCAACTGAGGCAACAGGTCCAAATAAGTTTACTGCTGCTTTTTCCTTTATTTATAACTCATTCTTCAGCCTCATTCCTTCCTTGGCATGAAGCAGAGATTGAGCAATAGCAAATGCATCTCATATTTCCACTGCCACAGGTTCAACAAAGAGCACAAATCATGGAGACAGATGTATCATGGGTGCAAACCTCTGCCAGCCTGGGCTGCAATTCCTCAGTCTATGAATAGCTGCCTCTCTGACTTACAGACAGCCCTTGCATTGAGAAATACAAAGTATCCAGCATTATTTATTAACACTCATCGATGCCCTTCTGGTTTGAGGGCTGCCCTCTTAGCCATGGCAGGCATTTTTTCCACACAAAACATTGACTATTGGGGGCAATGGCAAGATCCTCACGTACCACAGGTTACTCACCACTCTACACCATGCCACAGGAGTGGAGCAGCTGAGGTAGCCTGGGAATCTGTGGATCTGCTTTAAGCTCAGTGGAAACAGAAAACAGCATGGGACACTCCATTTTAGCACACTTTTATATGTCAGGAAATAGAGGAGAGGACAGAGTCTCGTGGTAGTGATTACCATCTGCATGGAAGAGGAACAAACTGCACAGTCCTCTGATCATTTGCAGGAATTATGCTTGTAATATTATAGACCTAGGATTTTTTATTAACATCTCTGTATAAATTATGTGATTTCACCCTATATTATCTAGTACTGTACTAGAAGGAAACATTAAAGCAACTGTATAAACTGTACTGTTTTAAGAGGCAAACAAGTTTATCAGCAAGTTTGAAGGATTTAAACTCCTTGTGAACATCACTTTTATGCATGTAAAAGCTTAAAAATTTACAGTGAACAGCAAGGAAATGATTACATATTGCAGGAGAACAAGTAATAGTTTATATTTTGTAGATGTTAACAGCCACACTGAGCTGTAACAGCATATCACAAGCTCTTTCCACAATACTCTTGAAAGTCCTGGTAAGTGACCCCACATTTGGAAGAACCAATGGAGGATAGCAAACAAACCCCTACTATGCTGAGACATCCTAGCCATTTTGAGCTTCTTCGCAGAAAACATCTCTGCAAACCCACTCAAAGAGTAAATTTTCCTTCTGGGGAAGGAAATTCCCAGCTAAAGGAAGTTCTATATCTACATCTAGTTCCATCTGCATCTGGCTGTTGGGTCACTTTCTTGTACAGTTTTGCAAAAGAGCCTCATTCTGACTATTACTATGTCTGATGCTACACAACTCTAACTGGGGACTCAAGGTATGATATCCTGATCCAAGCTGGAAGCAGCTACCCCAAAATGTGCTCCTCAATTTGCTGTCCACAGTAACTCCAGCCCTTACACAACTACTGTTAAGGTAAGGTTGGCATTGCAGGGTTGCTGTGTGAACATTTGACAGGTCCTAAACACAGGTTCTGTCTGGAAAAGGCAGAAATCTAAACAGACAGAAATGTAGGAAATGCACAAGTAAGTGATCCACCAGCAAAGGCTAAATGGGGGGAGTAGGGAAGAGTTCATATCTCCTCATATCCCACTTTTGTGTAGTTTCCAGGGCACTGACACCATTCACTAGATCTTTCTGAAGCAACTTTCAAGGAGCTTGCTAATTCTCTCTACCTTCCTCCATGTACAGAGCATAGCACAAGGCATATGCTCTAGCCCTGTTTACAGAGTAACAAGTAACAGAGCAGTCTGCACAACTTCCAAAGGAATTCCTGGTTGCTTACTCTGCAGCTACCATTAATACCAATATGTGTTTCCTGGTTACCATTCCTTGCAGTGTTTATACACCAAGAACAGACAATCATTTCACAGAAACCAAAGAGCCTAAATGAGTGCAGACACAAAATACCACACAACAAAAAACTTGGTATGTCACATTACCAGAAGAGAACAAAGCATCTTAAGTATTTAAGAAATATACAGAAGGTGTTATTTATATGAAGGTATATAATTTTTTCATGTTAGACAATGCCCACCCATTCATTTTTAAAATCAAGCTCTAAGAAAGTAATCTGAAAGAGAAGTCTGGAATCTGCCCTTCCTGCATAATAGTACAATTAAGATTAAACTTTGTGAAGTATTTGCAAGAAGTCTCACAGTAACCTGCTACTTTTACATGGACAACAGCTCTTCCACCAACAATTCATACAAGTCAAATTAAATGAGACCTTGCTTAAAGAATCCCATCCACAATCTATTAAAATACTGGTAGCAGTGAGACAGTTTCATACCCACCTAGTTAGGTTTTGGGATTGTGTACTGTAAGGCACTACCTAACGTAAAGTTTATTCTTTCCTTTGCTAGTATTTGTATTTTTTCCCCTTTTCCCCCTTAATAAAACATCAGAGGTGAAACATAGATTAGTCATATCTGAGACATTCCAGCATACTAGTTTGCCAGCCATTAGTAATCTGAATTCTGTGTCAAGTTCCCACTATAAAAACAAAATGCAGGCAGATTTTGCCAAAACTTGCTCAGATAAAGAGGGGATCCTTGAACTTCTTTGCAGGAGCCAAACAAAATGCATTAGCTTGCACTCTCAGTATGTAGAGCCAAGGGGAAAACAGAGACCTGGCCTCATATATTGGCCTTGTGCCTTTTCCACACCATAAAATGACTAAGGCAACATGGAAGAAATGTTCTCTATGTCCTGCTGAAATGTCATATTGTTTGTATTCTCATTTCCAAAGGCCTTTGCTTTACTAACAGGCATAAGTGCATTGCTTCATTTTGGATTCTTCTATTATGTCCAGTGTTTCACTTCCTTAATTTGAACTTTGACAGCTCCCACACTGTCAAGGAATGCACTGAAAATGATGCTGTGCAAGAGGGTGAGAAAGAGAAGGAGGTGCAGTTTTATGTGTAATATGATCTACAGAATTTCATACTGCATGCAGCAGGAATAAAAGTAGTCATTAGTGAGATAAGGTATAAATTTTACACTCTTGTAGTCAGTTACTCAGCTGATCTTTCCAGAATCTTGGAAAAGTGTACTGCAGCTATGCATATATATTATACTTAATGATGGCCATTAAGTCTGCAGTCACAAGATTCAGCCTGCTTTTTGCAGCTGAATTCATACTGCAGCCTCCCAGATTTTGTAATAGTTACTGACATGGTACAAAATAATATTCCTGTGGAATCATGACCCTGATTAGTAAAGGGGTAACTGCACTCCCTTCTTCATCTTCATTGGTCCCCATGGGTTTACACTAACAATAAATTTGTTTCATTCTTTGAAGATGAAAGGTGCTATAAAGTGCACTTTATTAAAACCACTATAAAGACTTGTTATTTTTGCTTATATACCTGCTGAGTGATGGTTTCCAGAACAGTACCCCCTGAACACATACACTCACTTTACCTTCTGGTTTGGAGAATTCCTCTTAAAATGTAAGCCACTTTTCCAGCTTTTGGTGTACAGCTTCTTCTTTGCTTCAGGACTATAGAACAGCCTTTCTATAACCCAGAAAGCTGGGTGGGGATACAGGTTTCCTGTAAGGTAGAAGTGATAGAGAGTCTTATTAGATCCAAGTGATCCAGCAGACCAGGTTCATAGCCAGATGCTGGTCTTGACTCTTGTCTAGGCCAGGAACTGGTGGGTTTGGGTTCAGATATGGCAGTGCCAAATTCTCACCATCTTTGACCCCAATTAAATCTCCCATGATGATTCTAGTGATGATTCCTTGCCCTGCATGTTGCCTTTCCTTACAGAGGCAAAGTCCTGAGAAACCTGCAGGATCATTTTTTAACATCTACTGAAAAATTTCTTCCCTCTTTTTTCCCTTTGGTGCAGAATCTCTGAATCACTGTTTCCCAAAACAGCATCCCAAAACTCACATGGGCTTATTCTTTTGAGATTGATGACAAAAATGTTGGTGCTAGCAAAAGAACAGTCCAGCTTCCTATTTCACCTACCATAGCATAAATCTACAGTCACAAGGGTTTTCAGAAAAGGATGCTCTCCCCAGGTATACCTTTAAAAGTAGGACTCTTCCTACCAAAATTGTTTGCTTCACATTTTCAGTCTCTCACTGTATAGATGGCAGGAGTGTGACTTCTCAGAAGCACTCAATACCCTTAGATAAAGACTGTTCAAATTACTAATTGTAAGCCTACCTAATTTTCTCCTCATTTAACAGCTCTATTATTTGTTTCAATTTCTGTGAGCCTTAACCTCCCAGATAGCTTCTCAGACTGCATTTGCTAACCACCTTCACAAACCAAGTATTCCACCTATGCCTAGAGAGCCTTTTCCCTCAACAGAAAAAGAAACAAACAGTAATAATAATAATTTTTTAAAAAGTCAAAACAAAATGAAACCACAGATCAAGACTCAACATGAAGAAGAAAGGATTCAGGGAAAAATCACAGTTATCTAGTACTGTATGCAGTAATTAAGTAAGAGAATAAAAATAAACTTTTACTTCAGCCACAAACATATAAAAAATAAACTGGAATAATCAGTTACATATCTCAGTTTGTGTTCTTGTGCAGTGCAAAGCATGTCCAGAATCTGGTGAATGACAGCACCTGATAGTCATAAATTCCTGCCTCGATTACCTTTGCAACCTGGTTGATATTTTTGCAGATATATTTTTCAAAATATTAACTGATGACTATTAACAACCTGACTGCTTGTGATCAGAGTAATAAAACTGTTTATGACTGTTCCTATTGCCTCTTATTTGGCAGTCCAGAGAAGTGACCACAGCCTCTATCTTCCATCACTTCTGCCCCTTTTCTAGGCTGCTAAGAAGTAGAAGTTTTAGAGATTAAACCTGTTGCTATGACAATCCTAATTCTTATAACTTGGCTTCCAAAATCCCTGTTCTTGCCTAAGTTTCTGTCAAGAAGAAAGCTTAGAAAAATCACACAGAAAACTCTTACAAACTAAAGGCAGGCAGAGACTTTTCTTGTAGTGAGTGTCTCTTGTAGCTCTGTGCCTCACCTCCTGCCAAGGCTATGTTTGGAAAGCACACTCCTTTCCTTTCCACCAGAGTGGTTCCTTTGGAAACACAGACTTGAACAGGGAATGCAGTAAATTACCAGATATCTCAGCTGTCTTGCCTCTTCCTTCCACCCTCTTATTCTTTTTAATGGCTTGCCAATGTGAAAATATTTTCATGAGACAGTAAACAAAGGGGTCTCATGTCCCCTAGCAGATTTCCTTTATTGAGGTCGTTGGGTATCCCATTTTAAGGCCAAGAAAATAGCTGATCCAAAACAAACCCAGATCCACAGGGATGGTCACAAAATGGAAACAAGGTTCTCTAAGTTCCAGGCATTACTGAGCACTTCCCAGAGTGTTGCTGTTAACCAGAAACATATATAGGTGGCAAGTTTTACAAGTATATTAACATATTAAAGTCATATACTTAATTCAGCTGTACAGAATTCAGTTCTGTACTGCTAAAGGAATGAAAATAGGAGGTTTTATCTATTGCAGAAAAAGAAAAAAAAGATAAGAAAATAAGCATCTTCAACAGTCCTATCTTTAGTAACCCTGCCACAAACCAATCAGAGTACATAGGACAGGACTGTAGGATAAAACACATGGAAATGTAAGAGAATAGATGAGGATGATTTTACTTTATATATTTATATTGTTATATGTACACACACACCCATAGTACATATGCAGACTGAAGTTCTATACACATACATACACACACAGGTATTTCCTTTCCATCTTTTGCCCTAAATTCAATCCTGTTTTTAAATGCATAGCCCACACACAGCTCCCACAGACACCAAGTGACAGTGCTCATCTCTGAGCTAAAACTAGATTATTTAGAACATCTTAGGCATGAAGGCCAGCTTCATTTTTGATACTACTTTAAATTTAATGTTTACGCTGTGTGAATATTGATGATCTTAAACAAATTTAAAGAAAAGCACAGGGTTTGTTTTGGATTCCTGAACAAACATTTTTCAAGATGTACATCAGTATATATGGTTCCATATTTTACAGAACATCCATCCCACCATGAGCTGCACATCAGGGCAGAGAGGGAGGGTAGAAGGAGTCTAGGCCTTTCTTCTTGAAAGTAAACTTTTACATACACAGAGATGAACTGCATCATAACTTCTGTGTTAAATCTTGTAATGTGTTTTTAAAATTGGTACTTTAGAAACAAAAAGAACAAATAAAAGAAACAGGCTTGCAAAAATTAGTATTTTCCACTTTTCTCTCCCAAACTGTTACAGAATGTAAATCTTGTTTGGGAAATAGAGAAGTCATAGGTCCCATTCACACACCTGTAATATTAACATAGCTTACTTTCATTTGCTCTGTGTTTTCCTCATATTAAAAATGAAAGCACAAAAAATAATATCCACTGTAACCTTACCTCACACATCCATCCACTTACTTCAGCTCCTCCATGGTAATAACACTCCCAAACGTGCCCTCTGTGCTCTCAGTTCACGCACACTTGCTACTCAATTGCAGGTCATTAAGCTGCACACCTGCAGTGCCTTAACTCGTGCTTTACTCAGCTCTGTACCACCCCCAGCAAGAGTGACATCATTCACTCCTCACACTCTCATTAAATGTTGTCTTCTTCCCACAATACCCTGTGCCAACTTCCCTGATGAATCCAACCTGCAATACTCAGCAGCTAACTGAAGAACAACTATTTATTATACCAGCTACACATAAATATGTAATTATTTAGAAGGAATAAAAAAAGGTAATTTCCAGCTTAGGTGATGTGGCTGAGCATTGCCTTGAATCAGGAGCAATCTGTAGGCAACCACATGTCACTAAGCACTTAAATGTGTGAAGAAAATGCCAGAACCATTTAAAGCTTTTTCTCCTCACTAAACACCATTTTAACTAAAAATACTTACTATGGGGACAGGATTTCCATATGAATATTGTGACTTTTAAATGCTGTCTGTATTTAGAGTCTCTGAGAGACACATGCAGTTTATGTACCACCTGTATGTGCAGAAAGAAATGGAGTAAAAACTTCATTTAACACAAAGTTAAAGCTGCCCACCAGCTAAAGAGCCCTTGGTGCAGAAAAAAGGTTTTGCTGTGGATACCTTTAGCATCACTCGGGTTTTTTGAGATTTCTGTTTGCAAATGGTTTCATGGCCTGTTCCATGGAAGTAAATTCCAGCCATAAATGAAACTGCAGGCAGAGATCCTCCCCTATCATGGAGGATTCCTTCTTATGACCTTCCATCAATAGGCCTGAATTTATCTGTGATGTAACACCACTGGTGTTAATACTACATGAAGGATCAATTTCCCTTACATAATTTGTTTCATTTTTTAAAGCCAAGGAGGCCAGGTCAGCCACTCTGAAAGAGTAAACCACCTTATTTCCATTTCCACCTGCAATTTAGAGCCAACTACTTAGTCCCACTATCTCTAATGGTGGGTTAGATGCTGTTAGATGCATTTTATGGTCAATGCAGGATGATATTCTAGTGAAGGATGTTGGCACTAAAATAGTCACAACCAGTTCAAAACTGGATTCAGATTACCTGAGGGTGGGGTACTGGGGATTAAAGGTATCCAGAACCTTCTCCAGCCTGAGGATATGAATAGTGGTTGATTAAGAGGCAGGAGGTGGTGAAGGCCTGTGTATTGCCCACAGCACTTCAGATGTAACTTTTCTAGGGGGTTAAGGATGATCAACAGTTCTCATCCCTCACAGATAGCAGGTAGCTGTGCAGGGCTGTGTTAGAGGCTAGGTTTTAGGCATGGTACACAATACTGCCCTTAATGTCCTGAGAGCTACCATTTCTGAGTCAGCCAGAGGCTGGGGTGCAGTAAACCCAGAAGCTGTCCCTCCTGTGATATATATTCCCTTTACTTTCCATCCTGTGTGCCTGACCTTCATGCCCACAGAACTGCTTTTGAAAAGCAGTGCAAGGGTCGATGGCTTCCATGCTCCATTTTACATGGGACATGATTTATGAGCAGAAATCTTTTAAAATGAAATTTCAGCTGCATTTCCTTCACTGACAGATTGGCAAACACCTTATGAATCACAATTCAAGTGCCAAATTCCCTGCCAGTGATCAACAGATTTTATCAAGCTTTTATAGTCTTCAAAAGCAAATTCCACAGTACTTGTTCTAACTTATTAACTTGCTATTAGAAAATATCATTGAATGAGCAATATTTGCTACAATGCCATGCACACAAACCATCTACAATACCTGCAAATGAATGATATCTTCTTCTAATCTAAAAACACATATTCCTTATTATATTCTTGGTAGAATGGGGAAAGTTACTTAGCTACAAAACACCACAAATCCTCTGCACCATGTAAACGGTCTCATTTTATGCACTTTCTTCACATCTGTGCAAATAAAGCCATTGTTACAAGCACAAAGAGCTGTGGCATACAATACATGCAGCTATGAAACCATGAGTGCTGCTATGTGTTGAGTCTTTAAATGGAAGTGGCACATCTGCTTTTGGCATAGGAGTGTAAATCAATCCAAGATGTTTATTAAACAGTCAGTAA